ATAAATATTTCCAAGGTTTGTAATGAGAGTGCAATATGTTTTACTTACTAACAACTATCACATATGTTACCATGGTGTTCTTTTAGTCTGAATTATTTATACTCTTGACTCTCATACTTGGACTTCAAATCTCGTTCAAGCTTGGCTTGGATATCTTTTGAGACTCAACTTTACGAAGTGTCCAATCTCATTAAAATCCAAATGGTTTTTTTTCTGCTTGCTTATTGCACTTCAGGTATTACTGAAATATTGCCAGTCACTCAGCGCCATATTTAAATTACTAATTTAAACATATATTAAAGCTTTATCTCAAATCTATTTTTATAATGAAGCCAACTTTTTTGGAGTTTAATTTTCTCTGAGTTATTTTCTCTCATTTAGCATCTCATTTAGGACTCTTGCGTCTAGTCAGAAGGTTGTGGGTTCAAGTTCCTTATCAGGGATTTTGAGCTCATGGTGTAGTCATAGGCTGACATTGCAATATAATGTTGGGGACTTTCAAAATCTGATCAGCATCTCGCAGCACTAACAAATGATAAAATCAAGATATATAACAATAACATGAATGAACTTGGAATGTTCAGAATCATGAAAAAATATAGTATTTGTGAACTCAAGAAATTAAATGGACACTGAGGCAGTTGTCAAACAAAAACAGAGATCACTGGGAACGTTCAGCACCTCAGGCAGCATCCACGGAGAAAGGAAAGTGGGTCAACGATTCGGGTCCATGACCCTTCATCAGAACTGAGGTAGTTGTAGTGACTTTGTTACTCTGTGGCTCTCACATTATCTGTCCAACTGCTAACATGCCACTCACCAGGGACTAAACTGGAGGACCTTATTATATGCTCAATGTTGTAACATATGGTGCATATACCCAATAAGCTATCAGAAAGGAGATCATCCCCAGACTCATCTCTTGTAACTGTCTGCAGTTGGTATTGGTATTGGTGGAAGATGGGAGCAGATTGTCAGCTCTCTTCAGTTCAGCCAGTGTAGGGTCATAGTGAGGCCATGGAAAGAGAAAAAAAGTGACTTCTGCCAGCAGAATATTATTTTTAAATTTCCAACTAGATACAGTAAAAGATGGAATAAAAAACAAAGAATGAACTTAATACTATACTCAGCTAGCCTTGTATGTGATTTTTNAAGTGCTCTGAGACGCAATCCGAGCGAAGAGTGATATATAAATGCAAGTCGTCGTTATTGTTGAAATTGGCAAGACTGTTTTTCAATTCAACCCATTAATTTTCCAATGAATTTTACAATTTGTTTTTGCCAACAATCAAGCTTAGAGGTTAATTACATCAAATGAATTGCAACAGTGTATGCCACGCACTGACCGTTTGGTATATGTTGAGTAATTTGGCAAAGAAAAGTGAAAGAAAATTAAATGACAAATAAAACACTGCATTGCCTTCACCTGAAATGTTTATTATCAAGTGCCGTTTTTGTAGTCTATACTATTTACTATGTTTAATTTCTCTGAACACAAATTGACCTCTACTTTGGCAGATTGAGTAAGTAAAGTATAAATAAGAGATAGACACCAGATGGGAACCTGGTGGAATATTTAACTTGCAAGCAGGTTAGGGGACTCCAGATGGCACAAAGACAGTAGGGAATGTTTCATAAAGGGAGACCAATTAAAGGTAGGTGAGGAATATCATTCTTGATAAAAGATAACATTTTCAAAAACAGAGGCAATTTGGAAGAAATTAGTAATCATAAAGAAAGACAGCAATAATTTGCCACTAACATTATGATAGGGCAGACCATATATTACAATATCACAATGTTAGTTTGAATGAATATTTTTGGAATTGTCAAATAGACTGCTTTTGGCCCATTTGATCTCATCTTTCCAGAATACCCACACAACTGTCTACCCACCACAGCATCAAGTTTCGGAACTGAATGAACATCTGGTGGATGTGATTCATGTATTGTTAGATTTTATATTTGTGGAGTTGTCAAATAGGCTGCCTTTGTCTCTGTCTGGTCCTACACGCGAAGAATGGCATTGAGAGACATAATGGGGGCTTCTAGTGCCCTATACTCAGTGAAAGTCATCTAATTCTGGAGAAAATGATGGACAATTGAGGGAAAATGTAAGTCAGTAACCCACTGACCTTTCATTGCTCTTGCAGTTCTCATTTCATGCTTTAATATCCTTAGTTCTGAGATGAGAACAGATATATTAATGGTCCAGATCAAAAGGAGTAATCATTTTTTCCGTCACAACACGTTGGTCGTAAAAGTGGGAAAACATACCTACATATTATATACTTCTTTGTGACTCCATCTGGGGCATTTTCATTATGTAATTTTCAGTTGGTAATTGATCACCGAGTATTTATTTCTTTATGTGAGATAACTGAACATTCATAATCTTGATTAGAGGAACAGGACTTAGTTTGGGGAAGGCATGTTCAAGAGCCTGCCCGTTGCATACTAAATCTATGTCAGTTCTCCAGAAAATAACCAAGAGAATACACTCTTAAAATAGATGTATGAACCTCAAACAACTTGAAGAATTTTTATAAATTATTTATGAATCTGGGGTGCGTTCTAACGGGGTCACCCTGCACAAGAAAAATTATAATACTCAGGAAAAAGCCATAACATTTAATACTCTGCAAATGTGACATTTGTACTATGGTATTGGCTTCAATAGGTTTATCAATAGAAATAAACTCAATGTCCGGATGGTGAAAAGTGTACTGTAACAATAATGACATAACAGCCACAGCAAACTGCGTGTCACAGCACTTACCAACTGAATCATGAAGTTCTTTGAGGGAATTTTAACCACATGTACCGTAATGCATGTGATTTTCTGTGATTAAATCTCTTTATTTTACAGTTTTATAGTTGAGTAGACTACAAAGGAGACTAGCTTCAGGTTTTAGAGAGAATGATCTTTTTCCAATGTGTTTGCACTTAAAAACCTTTATTTGTTAATAAAATGCAGGCCAAGTTCAGGTATTGACTTTTGATTTTTGTATAGTCTTTAAAATTATGTCCAGCATTAATCCGGAACTAATTTGGGAAAATAATTTAAGCGGAAATAGTGTTAGTCTAAAAGTGAATGTCAGCCAACTATTGGTTTCCTTCAGGCCATTGGTAAAAATAAAGGATTTGGTTGGTTAAAACTCATGTAAAATATTGTGACACCTTTACTGTGTATGTGAGGGTGGAAAGATTGAATTGGTTGCATCTTAGATAAAACATGGCATCAAATGAATCCGATTGCTTTAAATTGCTGCCCTAACTTCAACCAATCATCCGCTTACACGTATATAAGTATATAAGTATATACACTAAATTCTGTATGATTTATCTTCACTTTCTTCAGCATCAGCTACAGTCACTGCCTCCTGATCTTAACCCGACTATTTTTAGAATGTTTTGCATTTTGCCCACAAAATATTACAGTCAATTCAGTTGACAGTCTGTTCTGCGAAGCGCTTTGAGACGTCCCGAAGACCCGATGAGGCCCTGTATCAAATGCAAAGATGATAGGATTGCGTTATTAGTAGAATGTACACGTGGACCCTTCCGAGCCTCTTCACATCTTACACGTCTGGTGAATACCCTGTGTGATGCATACATATGGACATGTGTATCTTGGGCGCCCTATGAACATTTCCTGTGGAGATTATTTTTTCCTGAGGCGAGCGGTCATGTACGTAAGGATTGCCAGCTCGGTGGGCGAACGTGCCGACCGCCTCCGGGGTTTTTTTTTCTTATCCTGACCGATTCAGCCAAAGCCAAACCCTTCACGACCATAGGTTTTAACGTCCACCAGTTCAGTCGCGGCTTTTCCACGAGTGACCCCCCAACGGTCGCGCGGTCTTGTCCGCTGACCGTGCGTTGGGTTATTCTTCGCGTCTTAAGTCGGTTGTAAATCAGTTGCAATGGCAGGTGTCAGCTGCGAGGGCGGGTGATAAGGACGTCGAGCTGCAGGTCAGCCCGTGAACCGAACAGGCTCGAGGGGCTGAATGGCCTCCTCCTGTTCCTATGTCAACAAAATAAAATAATAATGATGATGATGATGGTGGTGATGATGATGGTGGTGGGGGGGGGGATGCGGGGAGGAGGGGTCACTCACTCACCCCACGGAAGGTGTGTGAGGCCGTCCGCCTTTCGCCCACCAAAAGCACAGTCACTACACTCGGGGCAGTGTGGGGGGGGTGTGAAGCGTCTCGACGACGCGACGAGGCGCGCCGCACCGAGGGGCCGAGGGTGGTCATCGATCCAATTCATTTCCGATGTCCTGCGGAGCCGCCGCGCCTCGCCGGACCGGGGTCGGTCGGAGTGGGGTCGGTCGTCACGGTAACGCCAACGGTCGGTCGGTCGGTCGCCCCCCCCAACCGGCGCGAGAGCTGTCCGTTTGGGCCAGGCAGCGCGTGACTCGGCTGGGCGCATGCGCTCTCTGCCACTCGGCCTCACGCGCAGCCCACCCCGCGCACCTCACGCCCGCCCACCCGCGACGCCGTCCGTCCGTCAGTGTTTGGGGGGGGGGGGGGGGACACGCCACGTGACCGGTGGCTGTCGATGGCGCCTCAGCAAACCGACTGTTGGCGCTGCTGCTGTTACTGCTGTTGCTGAGGTGAAGTGAAGTGAGCGACACGCCGGCCAGAGCGGAGCGGAGCGGGAACCGAGCGGACAGGGGCTCGAAGCGGGTCAGTCAGTCAGTCAGTCAAGTCAGTTAGTGAGTCAGTCCGGTGCTGAGCTCAACCCGTTAGTGAAGTGGAAAGTGGGAGTGAATTACGTCTCAAGAACACAAGGATAAGACGAGGAGGGGGGACGCCGCCGCCACCGCCGCACCGCATCGCATCGCACCGCCGGGGTCGGTCAATGATACGCACCGCTCGCCGCCTCTTCCTCCGATCCTCCTCTTCCTCCGCGGCGGCTGAACAGCGTCCGTGAGAGAGGAGCGGGAGAGGATATTCCATGTAAACCGTGGCTGCCGGCGGCCGCCGCTCGGGCTTGGCTTGGGTTTGGTTGGGTTTGACCAACCGCGCGGTGGTACGAGATGTGGGCACCGACCGAGGAGGAGAAATTCGGTGTCGGTGAGTCCATTCGGTGCTTTTGATGGTGTTTTTGTTTCTCTCTCTCTCTTCCCCCTGTGTGGTGTGTGTGTGTGAGTGCGCGTGTGAAATTGATAACGAGGGAGATCGTGATAAGAGCGATTATTGTCATTATATTATTATTATTATTATTAATGTGAATGCAGATTCGGTGCTGTCGCCCTCCCCCTTCCCTCACGAAAAATAAACACGACAACAAACAAGCGGCAGAGCTGTGTGGAGTGGGGGCGGACTGTATTGTATATTGCGGGGGCTGTGAATGAGGATGACGGTTTTTTTCGTTAAATCTCTTGTTTATTCTCCTATTATATATCCCCCCCCCCACCACCACCCCTTCTCTCTGTCTCTCTCTCTGTGTGTGTGTGTGGCTTTTATTTAAAGAATAAAACACGATCGCTTTAGACCAGAGAATGAGGGATGTTTTAAGTCCCTCTGTCTCGTAACAATCTGCATCGAAAGCGAGAGATTTTAATAACAACGATTCGCGTTTGTGCATTGTATATTAATATATCACACATCTCTCTCTCTCTCTCTATATATATATATATACATAAAGTGTTTGGAAGTCGATCGCAGCTTAAATCCCGAATATGGGATTTTTAAAATATATATATACGTATATAATGTATACGTTGAACTGTAATCGGGGTTTGAAATCCGTTACACGATGTGGGGAACTGTTGCATATGTTCGGATGATGGGGGAGTGGGGGGGAGGGAGGGGGGGGGCTGCGTTTTGTAAATGTTGGAATGTTTTTCGGGAGGCGCGTTGCGATCGTATTTACAATGTGATCCGATGTAAACCGCCCCCCACCCCCCACCCCCCGATACACACAGCCTGTGATTTGCTCTGTCCCTCCTCTCCTCTCTCCTCTCCCTCCCTCCCCCTGTTGTGTTGTTGTTGTTGTTGATTTAGCGAGAGACGTGCGGGACCAGTCAGAGGGGGGAAGTGTCATACCTCCATGGCGGGGAGGGCGCTGTCATGACGTGTGTGTCCCCCCCCCGACACACTCGCAACCGGCAGACGCGCGCGCGTGTGGATGCCGTTGGATTTTAAAATGGCAATATCTCGGTCGGGGCACGAAATAGCGGCGCAGGAACCACACACACCGAGCAGCAGAGATTGCTGAGGAACCGAATCCTAAGAGTCGTATTCTGTCGATCTCGGATCCAGTGCTTTTACGTACTATTTTTATTTGGGTGGTGGGGTTTTAAAAAAAAACGTGATAACATTATTTCCGATCAATCGAAATGACGGGACCGTCGTAAAATCACGTTAATCCGACGGACGTGCTTTGCGGCTGTCTCCACAAAGTGATCAATAAAAGCCTTGGCTTATTGGATCGGTTTATAATGAGTAAACATGTTCTCAGCGAAGCAATATAGGATTTTATATTGTCAATTGGTTGTGGGTGAAGGCTTTAAAATATGGAGCAAACATCAGATTGAAGCTTCAATATCCCACAGTTAGAATTAGGATTTGGAAAGAACTAAAACTACTTCTACTCAGTTAGTAAGTTCAAGTTTGTTGTATTTACAATCTAAAGCCGTTACTCAACTATGTGGATAGAATTTGTGCCATTGTTAATTAATGACTCATTGATAAACAATATTTAAAACAATATATCTAATAGCCAGTGAATTAAAAGGCTGATTAGTTAGGTTGGGAAATGTAGAGTGAAATGATTTTTCTATGTAAATTTAGTGTAGATGAAGAAGAGGGATAGAGAGAAAGTACTTGACTCTTTTGGGTCCTGTTAATTTCAACACGTTAGCAAGTGACTATGTAAGGATTGGCCTCTGCATCTTTTCTCTCTCTTTGGTGTTCATCTATCAATGCATATATCTATGTTGAGCCTCTGATTTGAGATTGATATGTTTACTTTGTATGTTGAAATCAAAGGGTTCTTATCCAGACAATGAATTATTTTTTATTTGTTGGATTGTTCGTGCTATTGTTTCTATATTGCTATAGTCTGGGCAATCAAACACTCTTCTCTAAATCCTCATCTGCTGAAATCAAAAATTCCATGTGAAAGGTTTTGTGATATCAGTGTTAAGAGACACTATATCAAATGCAAATGTCATTATTGCTATCTTCTAGCTGCTGTCAAAGGTGCTATACAATTCTGTTGTTGCTGCTACTGGTTCAGGGTTAATAGGGTGGTAGTGGCTTTGAAGCAACTGGCTCCCTAATCCTCTTGGCTGAAAATGATGCATGGAGAAAATAGATGGTCTTGTCCTCACAGTAAAAGCCAGTATGACGCATTACTGTAGGGTATTGTTTGTCATTAACACAGACTGGTTTTAATTGTCCTTCTTAGATGTGTTTCTTTTAACACGTTAACATGTCGAAAAGCTATGTTGCCAAAGTTTATTAAAATGTATATATTTTCACATTCCAATTCACATTTCGATGGAGGATCAAGAATAGGTCACGTGTGAATTTAACTGTTCTTAATGTACATTTGCAGTCTGTATAATTGTACATTGTGAGTTTATTGTACTATCTGGCGTCTAGATATTTTTAAATAGTTTGCAGATGAGGGTGGTCTCCTGAGAGGAGAAAAATGATTAATTAGACTTTTTGAAGATTTTTGCTCATAGCATCTGTAGAGGTTATATATAATCTAAGTAAAATGTAGTATAATGCATTTTTGATCCAGAAAATTATGATGAATATAGCACCTGGAAGCACTATTCATTGTAAATTTAAGCTTTCGCATTTTATTTGACGTTTCTGGCTTTCACTGACAGAAGCTCAAAATGAGGACTCAATGACTCCCCTCCAGTTTTGAAAGGTTGCATTTTTCAACAGTAAGAAATGTTTTTATGAATAGTGATACTGAAAGGCTGTGTTTGTAATAGTAAAGCAGAAATGAATGTGTAAACAGAAAAAAATGGGTAGTGCACATTATCAACTTCAAGAACATTGTATACACATTTAAACCATAAAGTTCTGCATATAAAGAGGTACAACAACAACAAGATTTCATTTATAGAGCACCTTTCACGTCGGGAAGACGTCCCAAGGTGCTGGACAGTTGGGTCAGGATATTAATTTGTCAAATTAGTTATGGTTAGTTTGAAGTAGGCATTTTCTATTATTCCTATTTTCTCTTAACCTCTCCTGAGGATATTGATGGGATGTAGTCCACAGTGCTATTGGTTACTTTGTCCAAATGTCTGTTGTTCATGATTCATTCTAGAAAGTGGTGTCAGCATGTTATTTGATTTTGGAGGGCATTATTGTTGAACTATATTCTGGTTACATGCAACATGCATAAGTCTGCACTTTCCAGCAGCAGTTACTAGATAGCCATCAGGAAGGGAATCTATAAATTCTCATGGCAGTATGGGATTCCTCCTAACTGCTCTACAGTGCATCCATCCAGCAAGTTGATATCTTATGGAAAATAGCCTAGTTGAAACGAATCCTGTATTTATTGAGGCTGAATAGAAACAAATCTCAAAGTCTTGCTTCCGCCAACTGACTGGGAAACCTTATATGAATGAAACACAGCATAAAAGCATTGGAATGAGAAAAGATGTTTCCATCCTTCAACTTGTCACTGGTTTCTCTCCACATTTGGGATAATGAAAATTACTGTAATTAACATTTCATGATTTATCTTACTACTTTTATAGCTCTGAATTCTATTAACCTGTTCTTTTTTATATATATATATGTAACATTGTCTAATGTCACTCTTATTTTTGTTGATGTTAACTTAAATTTAACAGGTACACACTATTGGTGGTATTGTTGAGCAATTGCTATTGTTGCTATTGTGTTCTGCTTCCCCGTTTCATTTAAATGAATTTTCTTTAATAGCTTTATTCTTGACTAATTAACTGTACAAACATTTTATGCATTAATTAGCTGAATCAAGGGCATAACACTAAGGATTTAGAAAGTATATTTGGAGATGCGTTTGAATAGTGTGTTGTGTTTATAATGTTGCTCTTTGCTAACTCCTCTATGATTTAATGTGTAATAAATATTTTAGCATTACTACTGGCCATTCAAACATAATAATGCTGCATATACATAGACACTCAACAATCCAATAACAAAAAGCAAAACAGGTATATATATGATCTGGTCTGTCACAAAACCTTATCATTTATTAAGGTGGCAATTAGGAGGTGACCTCTTGATTTATCAGTTGGCTACACTATCAAATCTTGCTTTAATTAAAAATGCTAGCAACTGATAGTAAACTGTTACTAAGTTGTTACTCTACAGAATAAACTGGAAAATTGTAATGTTAGCATGAACAATTTAAAAAAACTTGCATTTGATAGATCAATCAAAAAAATAAATGGGGAAAAATTATGGTGGAGCCACATGGAAATGGTTTTATGGGATTTAGTATTAACTGAACAATTTTTTAAATGATCAGTTAGTTGTGGGACCTCAAATCGCTTAATCAACACATTTTGCTCTATCTGGCTCAAGTATTTTTTGCATTGGGAAAAGGAAACAAAGTGGAGAGATGCTTTGGTAACCATTGATCTACAACGTTTTTTCAAAGATATATATTTATTGCATCTAGATTTCCACATAGTACTAAATGACACAATCTGCATTTTTTTGGTGTTTTTCAATTGGTTATGTGTTTTATACTTCTAAAACTGATATCTGCGAGTAATCTGTGAAAATCTTCAATGGTGTAATTGTGAGGTTTGTTATTCTTGTACTGGTAGCTTAGAATAATTTGTATTTGGGATAGTAAACTATTTGTACAAAGTACAAAATTATAATCGGTATCTTTGCAGCCTGGAGCTCAACTTTAAATGGTTTACTTTTTTAAAAATATTCTAATATTAAAAAATAAGTTTTAATATTCAAATTTTTCATCTCCATTAATTTATTTTTTACTCCATTCTGGAATCCCTCGGCCTCACCTCCTTCAAGGCCTGTCCCAAGACCTTCCTCTTTGACTGTGCTATTGGCAACCCTTCTATTTCCCCCCTTCC